GAGAACAATTACCTCCTTATGATTGATTTAAATTTGTTTCAAGTATTTTGTAATAATATTTAATCAGCAATTTAGATAATTTGGTTTTTGCCGGTTTTTACCAGTTTTTGCCGGTTTTTACCAGGTTTTTGCCACTGTCCTGGCAAAAACCCCTTTTTGCCGGCAAAAACTCCAACCCTGATAAGAACAAAGGAACTTGGAAAAAGTTTGTGTGAGCATTATTAACAAAAAGTGATTTTGACCTATTAGAAAATGTATATTACAAGATTTTTTTACGAATGGCAATATAAAATCCAGGATATTATAACATTATCTGTATGAACAATTTCTCCCGGCTGACAGAAAATTATGTAGGAAGCGAAATAATTTGCAAAACAAACAACGTAAATCTGGGATTTCACTGTATAAGAATTATTTATGTTATAGTGTGCCTTTATGTAAATGTTGGAATAGATTTGGCATGTATTTTGCTGTAAAGTAAACCATCTTCCTAAAGGAAAAGATTTTTTTTAAATGAATAAAGTGTAATGTTATGCCTTAAATATAATTTATTTTTTGTTAAGATAAAAAAAAATTAAATCAATGAAAGTAATAGGTTAAACTAAAAGAAAGAAAAGTCATAAACCAAGTTCGCCAATATGTGAGAATTACACCAATTTCTAGTTTACGTATAGGTCACCAGCTATGTATAATGTACACACATATCAAATATGAAAGTATTACTATCATTATCTAATCATATGTGCAATCTATATCAACACGCAAAATAATGTGATCATTTCTTATAACTAAATTATCTTTTACGATAATATCAAAAATAGTATACAATGATAATTATTTAATTTTATTGCGAGTATTGATGAAATATCAACACATCATAATACTAAAATAAGAAACTTGTGGGTTATGGCGATTAATGTTGATGTTGGTGAAAACTTGTAAACAACAGACAGTCTTTATAACTTATTCGAAGTTTGCCAATGAATCCAAACTTCTTCATTTTATGTATTTGCAGATTTAAAATTATTATTCATGTGATTTAAATAATGTTTCATTTACAGGATCTGAATGAGCTAAAAAAATGGCCAGTTGATTACTACTTCAAGTTATCATGTGGATATCTTTTATGAATGATGTTTTTCATTCAGGGAGTAGAATTGTAAGTTTTATATTATAGTAGTATTTATAATTGTATGTTGCTTTACAGTACGTCACGATAAGTATTTTTAATTAGCATAAATGCATATTGTCTGATTGTAATAAGCCTTAAAACATTGAACAGATTACCAAATATTGTAAACTATTCCAATTAGGGATGTAACGAATGTTCGACTACTATTCGGCCCTTCTGCCGAATATTCGGCCAACCGTATTATTAACAGTATTATTTGGAAAACTATTTTTAGGCAGTTTTTTTTTGGGGTGGGGGGAATTTTTAATTGATATAATAAAAAATAAACTAAAATTGTATTTTTTACTATACATTATTAGAAATTTAGTTTTTACACATATTTGTTAAGTTCTAAAACTTGTTAATTTATGTTCTGGTAGACGCATGTAAATGCGAAAATTAAAGAATAGAAACTAGATTACTTTATGCTAAACTAAACCATAAGTTTCGTTAGGCTGATTTTTTTCTTTATTTTAATTGTATTCAGGCAAGTCAATTTAATCGTTTTTTCAATACTTTGTTTTAAAAAAATGAAAATTTTTGCTTGTTTTTCTGTTTTAACTAAAGCGAAGCATGTTAACCGATCATTTCTAATATATAATTCACTTTTTTCTTATGCAATAATGTCGATAACTAGAAAGAGACATAGAAAACAGATTCTCTACGTTTAAGTTATATTTCATAACTAAGAATTTTTTTCTGTTTCTCTTTTGATTTTTTTTTCTATTGAATTTTCTTTTTATTATCATTTATATTATGAGAGCATTGTTTGAAGATCGTTTCTAATGAAAAAAAAAAATTTTATTGTTGTCACGTTTTTCTAAAAATACAGCAATGTGATAAAGTTAAATTAATATTTTTAGTGTTAAAACTCTTGTTTAAGAATTAAGAATGATTTTTGTTTCAGTTTCTATCTAGCTCTTTCTTTTTCAAAAAAACACTTATGTTTTTATTGAAGTTTTTATTATAATGCAGGAATTAAGAGGGTTTCTTTTAGGCTTTAATTTACACTTTTTCTTGAAAATACAGTAATTGGAAGACTGAAGTGTTTAGCTTTAAAATTAGACTAATATCTATTAATATCATCTCTTTCATGGATAATTTGTTCCTGAAAAGTTTTATTTTTAGCATTAAAGTTTTGTTTTAAGAATTACGAGGGTATTTTATTTTTTTTAAACTTTGCAACTTTTTTTTNTTTTTTTTTTTTTTTTTTTTTTTTTTTTTTTTTATAGCTGTTAGTCGGTTTTTTATCTTAAATATTTCTAATTATCCTTAATATTTCTAATTATCCTAAATATTTCTAATTATCCTAAATATTTCTAATTATCTTAAATATTTCAAATTATCTTAATATTTAATTATCTATATTATCTTAAATATTTCCCTTTACCTTATACCATTAATACACCTAAGTTTTGATTATTTTTCAATTATGACTGAGCTTATTTCTTTATAAAAAAATATTTATGAATGATCAGGGGTTTGTCCAGACCGAATTTACTACCGTTTAGCGGTACCTTCACAAATTCAACTTTAGTAAAAACGGTAGTTTCACAAATTTACTTTTAGAAAAAACGGTAGTTTCACAAAATACTTTTTCTTAAAATTTTATTTTTGTATTCCTTAAGACATGGTAAATCCATATTCTTGCCATATTTTTGTGTTGGATTTTTAAATATAATTTTTAATTTTTCACAAATTATATCTAAATTTTCACAAAATAGGTACCTCTCAGAAAAACCTAGACAGACCCCTGATGATACTTTTTTAAGAACTTAAAAAACAATGTTGACGATTTTTATGGCCGAAAATTTGATATTCAGTCAAATCACTATTCGTTACATTTGTAATTCCATTTAGCCTGGCTTTTTGCAAAATGCTGATGACATTTTCAAAGCACTATGTTTGTTTACGACAAGTAAACTTTTATTTAATTAATTTTAAATTATGCTTCAAAACTTGTTTCTGGGGAAAATTTTATTTATCTATCTTAAATTTGAAAAATGCAGTTCAGGACAGGGTTGGCAAGATTTTGCCACAGGTGGAAAAAACCATGGTAAATACCGGTAAAAACCGTCCTGGCAAAAACAGGTTTTTGCCAAGCTAATTGGCAAAAAGTGGCAAAAACCTATATTTTCCAAGATGAGAGGACAAAAACACATTTTTGATACAAAATTATTCCTAAAATTGAAATATATACTATAAATATAAATAATTACAAAAAAATTAACAAAATTATTATTCCATAATTAAATGATAATGTAATAATATATCATTTTAGTAGTTTAAAACATTATTGATTGGAAAATTTGTGATTATTCTTTTTTTTTCCAGTGAAATGAACTTATTTTAAATTAATATAACTATAATTTAAAACATAAAATATCTATCAATATGTGTAGTTAATTATTGTACAAATAATCATTTTTTATAATAAATAATAATATTATGCAAATAATAATATTTATTTATTTGTAAAAAAACATTTATTTTAGGATTCTAAAATGAAAAGAGATCACAAACTTTCAATCTTTTAAAAATTATTTCCATTATATTAATTATTAATATGTTAATGTATTAGTATTAAAATTATTATTCCTTATGATTGATTTAAATTTGTTTCAAGTATTTTGTAATAATATTTAATCAGTAATTTAGATAATTTGGTTTTTGCCGGTTTTTACCAGTTTTTGCCGGTTTTTACCAGGTTTTTGCCACTGTCCTGGCAAAAACCCCTTTTTGCCGGCAAAAACTCCAACCCTGGTTCAGGAGTACCTTGCTCAAAACCTGAATGAAAATAATTCTATTAGCTAAGCAAAAGGTAAATGGAAATATTTTGATAGATCATACAAAAAGGGTGATTTTATTAAAATGTAAAATTATGCACTTGACTTTAAATGATTACACAAAATAAACTTATCATTCAATTGGAAAAAGATTTTGTTGAATTAGCATATGCTCATCTAAAAAATACCTAAGTATTTTGATTGCATTAAAATTTAATTTGAAATGTCAAGTATATGAAGACAATTTAAAGTCAAAGGAATACCAGATTAATTACCAATAATGAAAAGAGCATTGGAAAACATTTGAATCATTGCCTAGTGAGATGGTAATTGCTATTTTTGGTTTCAATTAATTAGGAAAAGTAATACACTTAAAAATTCTACATATTATTCAAATGTCAATGAAACAAATGATACATCTGAAATTTATAAATGACAAATTTCTTTGAGGGAACACTGTAGATAGAAGAAACAATTTCCATACTTATAGTTGTCAATAGCAGCAATAAATTCTAATTGAAGGGGAAAAAAATCATTTAAATTCTTGGGGAAAATTTATGATTTTATATTTCGTTGGAACATAAAATCAAAATTGAATTTCCCTATCTTCATTTAATAAATTACATTAAAAAGTGATTTTATTTTTATAACATTTTATACATTGTAAACCTCTATTCGTAAAGGTATACAGTGGTTAAAATTAAATTTAAAGTTGTTTCTACATGGGAGTGACATATGTTGGATATGGTTAGATTTTTCCCATACATCATGCACATGGCAAGCTAATTACATCTTTAAAAATTAATTGCAATATTGCATTGGCTTATAACATTACAAAAACTACTGCAAAATATTTGTAAAAATTTGCATTTTAGGAGAATAAATACAATGATTTAAACTTTTTTTTTTCAAGTTGGTTAAGCTGAGCCCGGGATAGCCTGGTCGGTAGGGCGCTGAGCCCATGTCCAAGAGTTCGTGGGTTCGATCCCCACCGGCCGAAAACTCCCAGTGTGGTAAATGGTGACTGATGCACGTTAAATCTGTCGAGTGGCAAAGTCCTCCATGTTCCCATAACAAATAAATACCTCTGGGGGTACTGATCCAGGAGTTTCCTTGTCTTCTGGATTGGTTCAAAATTACAAGGCTACGGAGTTGAACATTAGTAGTCGTAAGCCCAAAAATTGGGTCAACGACAGATATAAAATAAAATTGGCTAAGCTGGTGAGAATAAATACAATGATTTAACTCTTTTTTTCAATTGGCTTTAGAAATTGGACATAAAATAGAAAAATAAAATTGACTTAAGCTAATCTATTTAATTTAAAATATGTACATAATTTTAACTCTGTTCCGCATGTGAACCTGATGCTTGCTTTAATAGTTATAAATAATTTATTTTTAGATTTTCAAGAAAGACATCAATCTACTTAATAATAAAGGAATTGTGTGAATTTCGTAAAAATGACATAAAATTTCTATATTTTAAACAATAAAACATACATTAAAACACATTTATTAAAGTAAATACGCATTAAAAAAAATTCTAAATGAACTTTAATGAACTACAAAAGAACAATATTAGAAAAAATCCATATGAAAGTATGACCAAACATCTAAAATTGTTCTTAAATGTTAACAAAAAAAGGTTTTATAATGAAAACAATCTGTAAATGTAAATAAGAATCTGGGATATAACATCAAATTTGTAGTATTCAATAAAGATTAAATCTGATTGTCTTACTTAAAATAAATTTTATCACATTTTAATCTTTTAACTGTTATACTTGAAATATCTGTTAAGGTATTTAGATGTTTGAGTTAAATTCCAAGATTAGATGCCTTGAGGAAAAGAGTGAAATAATGTAATCAGTAAAAGGGGCAAAAAACAGTAGAGTTATCGTGAAAGTCTAAATCCTTATTTCCAACAAAACATTCTTAATTTTTCTTAGATAAAAGAAAAGTTCTTAAAAACTTCACTAATAAATTTGTTTGAAAGTAACGTTGTATTCCTCATATAATATTTTGCTTTTACCAAATATTTAGAAAATGTAGAATTTAATTAAATTAATAAAACTAATAATAGTTCTAGTGTTCTCAGTCATGGATGGGATACCTTTAGTCATTGAACCCTTCACCCTTTCTCTGTACACTACTAGACATGTGTACAGAAATTTACTTTCTGGGCCTACATGTGTACAGAAATTTACCTTCTAAATTAACCAAGTAAAACTGTTATACTTCATTTAAAGTAAATAATCAAGTCTCTCCTCAAACTGAGTTCAGGTTTAACTGTGAAATGATTTGTTAGATAATTAAATATTTATTAATTAATTTATTTCTGTCTTATTACAGGTGCAGATTACAGGAGTAACTATGACTACTTGACATTTGAATTAGCTGTCTTTGACAGTAAAACTCCTAATAAAATCTCCTAGTTTTTGTTTTTTTTACTAAATTAATTTATTGCGAGAGAAGTATACTTGAAAGAAATGACTTCCAGTTGCCTTGATTTGAGTATACCATCATCCACTTGTAAGGATGATTTTGCATCTCAGTGGAGGTGTCACAGGCGGACAAAAAGTGCTGGAAGCAATGCCTCACGAGATTTATCTCTGTATACGTCTATGGGATTATATGCTCACCATGGAGTGTTTGCCCCACAAGAACCCAGCACAACAGAAAAGAATTTAGAAGTTTCTTTCAACTGCAAATATGACCTCATTAAGATAGTTGAAAAAACTGATAGAGCTGCATTACATGCTCGTGATCAGCAAGGTTGGTAATATTGTTTTTGTTACTTTTTTGTTTTAAATAACACCATTTGTACCCTAATTTTGTGTTTAAATGCAGGATGACCGTCAGGAAAGAGATGTTTTTGAAATTTTTAGTATTATGGTGTGTTGAGCTTCGTATATTTGTATGCGAATCTAAACTGTATCCAATGCTAGTTTAAAGATGAAATATTATCAGATGCTTAATACTGAAAGTAGTTTCTGTAGAAGTAGTTCATTTTATGTAATATCTTGGTATTTACGTACTATTGAAAACATATTGGCGACATAGCATAACAGCCGCCGCAAAAAAAATACCATCGGAGCTGTCCTCTAATAAATATTAATACATTTGTAAATATTAATAATAATATAATAAGTGCATGACTGAAAAATTAAGGAAAATTATAAGTTAAGCAAAGTAATAAAACAATTGTTACCTGGATACCTGTTGCATTTATTTGATGCAATCTCAGTCATATTTTGGCAGAAAATGTACAGATGTAGATTGTAAAATAGAATAAAAACAATATTTTTCTTAAACCTGTTGCAAAACAAATTCCAATAAATATGATTTGAGATGATGTCGCAATAATCCACATTGTCTTTTATTCAGTCGTTTGAAGGATCCCCATATTATTTTGATCTTTTGGATGTGATCACCTGTTCGGGGCCAACGAAGTTGTACTTATGATTGACTTTCACATGATAAATTCCAGTAACTTCTAATTCTCCCCAACTGTCAGAGTAAATTTTGCTTCCTTCTTGAATGTTTTCAACAATTTTTTCGAAAAAAGTAGTGACAGTTCTATTAGATACAGTTATCAAAAATGTTCTTTGATCTCTCTACGCATGCCACTGAAAACCCACTGTTTTGGCAATACTCAACCCATATTATTTTTCCTTTTGGTGAACAAACTTTTATCTACTCTGACTATGCAACCTGGTCTTCTTATGGACCTAGTCCTAGTATTTTCGTTATCTCTCTTCTTTTTTTTTTCCATGTCAAGAACACAAATCTCACTAGTCGATGACTGCTTTGTCAGCCAAATTAAGTTGCTCGTTACAAAATTTTATGGCTGTTAGCTCTTAACACCAGCAATTAGTGAACGTCTGCTATTAAAGACTGGATGTGGTTTCCCTCAAACCAATTTCCAGTTCTTATTCCGACATGTTGATTGCAACATTGTGCATCTCAAAAAAACCTGTTTTCCAAAATAGAGCTTTACTGGGTGACAACTGCTACATTGACTGTCTGGTAAAATGTTGTATTTTTGCACAAAGGCCATGGCATTTCTTTCACTAATCAGTAAATACCATATTCTCAATTCTATGTTTGCACTTGCCATTGCAACGCACATTTATAATGAGCACAAAAAGGTCGGAAAGTGTTTCGAAAGAAGAAGCTCTTGGTTGCTACTTTGGCTCCTTTCAGGTTACCAGTTTATCCCGTTATCCTTCAAAGTTGACATGGATACGATAGTATGTAAATACCATTATCTTTTTGGGTAAATACCAATATCTTTTTATATATACTAATTTATAAATCTAAAAATCTCTTTCTAGTCATTTATTCTGAAATGTTGGTAAACTACATTTTTGGACTAGGAATGTTTTTCCAGATTTATCTAAACTTTAATTTTCTATTAACTTTTAAAATTTACATTTAAAAAAAATCTCTTCTGCTAATTATTTTTTATAAATTTATTTTATCGTAAGCAATATACCTAACATTTCTTAGTTTTAATTTTATATGGTTCTTTATTACATTAAGTTAAGTGTTAATACTTAATGTAATAAAGAACTTGTTACTGAAGAATGGAGATATTATCAGTTAGAGGTTGCAGCACTTATCAAAATAAATTATAGTGCATTTATTGTATATTGGTGTTCAAGTAAAGGTGGTCAAATCAAGATTTTATCAAAAATTCTTTATGCTTGAGTTTAAAAATCACTGCTTCAATAAGTGATTGAATGAGTGATTGACTGCTTCAATGAGTGATTTTCTTTTCCTGTTAGTCATTTTTTTGGATTTGATGACTTTTGCTTGAACCCAGACAATATATGGTTTAAAAAATGTACACACATTCAAATCAGATGACAGGTGCTTGGATGCAAAAAGATTACTTTCTGTGCAAAGAAACAATGCAATATCGCATTTTATTGAAAGCTCACTTTTAGTTTGTACATAAACAGTTTGTTGTGTATAATAACAAATGATTAAACCAGTATATTTGTTTTAAGCAAGTTTTTTATATTTCAATATCATGTCGATATTTTATGCTAGAAGCATAATTTCATTTATCAGTCTGGAATTAATTAATAAGATTATTTTGAATCTTGGTTTTAAAATCATGTTTGGCACTTTTTGTTTTTCCAGATGATTATGACTTGCTAGAATGTGGTATTCTCTCTTGCCGTCCACGGTTTTTGCAAAAATTTGCCAGTATCCGTATATTTGTCTTCCTTTCTTGTGTTTTAGTAACAGTACAACAAGCTTTGTCTTCTGGTTATTTTAACAGGTAAGATGAGCTTTTTCTGCAATGTTTGTACATGTTATTAATTTTATATTTAGAGTGTTTATTTTTAATTATAAGTCATTTTCTTTGTGTATTAGTTTATTTAATAACAGTTCACACTACAGAGGCAATAGCTGCGGTTTACAGTCCGTGGGGACAAACTCATTATTTGCCTCCCTGGAAGTACATGTTATACGCATTTATGTAGATAATGTAATATCAGATGTAAATAGACTTTTCGGGTCGATTTTTAGTTTTTGATTATGTGCAAACTAAATTTATTAATTAAAATATATATTGAATAAGATTTCACATCTTTAAATAGTGTTTTTTGAATCAAAATAGCTCAACAACAAAAAAACATTCATGCAATTCAGCTTAAAATTGAGCAGTATGTGTTACTAATGTAGTTTCTATTACACTTAGATGCTTTTTTTATCATATTTATTGTTTTTGATTTAATGATAAGAGTTTTTTCTAAAGACATTCTTCTTTTAATGAGTTTGAAATTTCCTAAAAATAATTTCAACAAAAATAATAAATCAGCATACAATGAAAGCGACAATAATAACATACCCCATTGCCTATGTGTATTTAAAAGTTAAATTATCATATTGTGATCATGAAAAAGGATATGAAAGTTTGCTAATAAGCTAATTTTCTAAATCTTTTGCCTAAAGACAATATTTTTTATGCATTAAAATATCATTTGGTAAAGTGTATTGAAACAAATAGAGCATATTTCGAAAAGTACTATATTTTATCTTACTAGTTTTGTAAAAATGATAGTTTTTTGTTGTTTAAACCAACTCCTTCAAAATTTGTGAAGGCAGAGAAAACTCTTTAAACTAAAATCAGTGACATCTGCATGGTTTGCCACAATTAAGAATATTTGTTTTTCAACCAAATTTTTTTAGCACATGGAGAAACATTACTGGTGATAAATTTATATTTCTTAAATTACGTAGGTTAAAACAAAAAGTTTAGCTTCTGTTTAATCTCTTTTCTTTTTTTTAAAAAAATATATATATTTGAAAAAAATTTAATAATGATGTTTGTATCTTCTGTTATACTTTAATATGCAAAACACTTCATTTTAAAATAGGAAATTTCATAATGCAGTGGCTCTTATCCTTAATGTGGTATTATTGAATTTTTTTTTTTTTTTAAGTTTATTTTTTGTAGTTTTAATTTTTAGTACCCAAGATAAATTTTTTTATTTAATGGTATAATAAATTTTTGTTCCTTCTCTAGTGTAATCACAACAATGGAGAAAAGGTTTGATATTCCCAGTCGTGTTTCTGGGGCCATTGCAAGTACATTCGAAATTGGTAATTTATTTACCATTATATTCGTCAGTTATCTTGGCAGTCATAGACATATACCTGTTTGGATTGGTAAAGGTTAGTATTTTTTGTGGTTATTAAAATTTAATATATTTTAATATTTATATTTAAATTTTTTAAACGTTTATGTTAAAATTTACATTGTAAAAGCATTACATTCATTGTTTCTGACAACAATAAAGCCATGGAAAGATGCATGGTCCTTGATCAATCTAGTTTGTTGAACATACATTTATTGTTTCTATTGCTGATAACAATAAAGCTGTAAGAAAATGCATGATCCTTATTCTATCAGGTTAATTTAACCATTCTACTGTAATTGCTTCTGTAGCAATCGTTATTTTTCTTAAAATAATGCTTTGTTTTAAAATGTGTTAATACAATAAAAAAAAATTTAGGAAATCTTTTATATTTGTTAGTTTATAATAATTTGTGATCTATTTTGTGTATTTAAATGTCCTATTAATAATGACATATGTATTAAAAAAAATTATATGAATTATTAGGGAAATAACCTATCAATAATTTAAGCAATAAATAAATTAACAATATTAAATAGTTTCTTTCACATTAATCTTAAACACAAGTAAGGCACAATAATGCTATAAGTTTATTTTGATTTTCCTCAATCATTTTTACACATTTTTTCCATATCACATTAAATTGAAAGGCTTCATTTCAATACATTTTAAAACTCTCTTTCGCTGTTTTCTTGAATTTATCTAGAGTTGCCATCATAATGAATATATTTTTTCTCTTTTTAAAAGGTATCATTGTTATGGGCATTGGATCTCTTGTATTTTGTGTCCCATACTTCCTGGAGCAACATTTGTCGACTGTCCAGATTGGAAATTTTACTCATCCCATGGATGAAAATACTTGCCAATTACCAACCGCCACCGTCCAGTCATCACAGACAGCGCATTCGGGGTAAACTAATTTACTAACGTTATCAAAATCATCAAACATTTTTTGGTTATGTTCCAGTTAACTTTTTTTAAATTTCTGTTGAATTGTTCGTTTTATATTTTTAACTTATTAAAAAATAGTTGTATTAAATACATCCCAAAAGAAACTTTAGTTCAAAATTTAGGAAATTTCGTGCTGTGAAAGGCATTTTAAATTTGTATAACAAATTTATTTACTCTATGAAAAGCTTTAGAAAATCTGATTTATATTTCTTTTTTAGCCACTTCATAAATCCTCCTTCACATGACATCGACCCAACAGCTTGCAATGAAGGACGATCTTCCAATACTCTTTATATTTTAATTTTTATGGTTGCCCAAATATTGATTGGTAGTGGTGGGACTCCAATCTTCACTCTAGGAACAACTTACATCGATGATCACGTTAAGAAAGAAAGCTCCTCCATGTACATTGGTAATTACGTTTCTAGATAATTTTACTTATCCATTATAAGGAATATTTCTTTTGTTGTTGACCTAAAAAATTTTACTTACCGTTGTAAGTGTATAAGTTTTAATTTATTTGTTTGTGTATTTGTTTGTGTATTTATTTGTGTTGTAAGTGTATTTGTTTGTTGGTAATCTAAAATTTTGTGAATTATTATAAGTTTTTTACAATTTTAATTAAAAGCCCGTTGATCAAAATTTAAATCTATGTTTAATACAGACTCTATAACGACCCCTGTGGTAAAAGCAAAAATGGTCTTTATAATATGAGGTGGTTGCCGTATTGTGGCTACATAAAATTAGTGAAAACATATACTTATATTTTAAAAATACTGGATTTATTTTGGCAAAAAACATGCTACATTTTAAATAGAACTGAAACTAACTAATGCAGTTTTTTTCTATGTTAGTTAAGTACAAGTGTTATTTAGTATAGTTCAATAAAGGTTAAAAATAAATTTAAGTTTTTTAAATGGCGTCTTTTAATATTGCACATAAACTTTAGCCCATGTTCAGTGTTTTTTCTAGATTTTTTTTGTTTGATGGAAACATTTTCATGAAATTAGAACACTTTGTTCTTCTTCCTTTAGAATTACATATTGATTTTTAATTATTGTAAAAAAGCGCTTTTCAGGATCTTGAATATTTTATCAATTTGTAATTATGATGTATTCTTTTATCCACTTTCTTAAAATTCTAATTTTTTGCTCTAAACATATGGCATTACACTAATTAAGAGCAGCCACTTAATGAGTGTAATGCCATATCTGAGAACAAAGCAGAAGAGAACCAGAGAAACTAATCCAGAGAACTAAGCAGAAATAAAGTCAAGAAGAATGTTTTAACACCAAATTAAACCACCTCTTTCAACATTTCACAAAATGAATGAATGCATTTTTTTAACAAGAAAACTATGAGCCCTTTGAAAAAAAATTATGAGAGGTAATGATTTTAATAGGAAACTCCAATTTCTAAAGGGCAGTGCAATGTACACTTTTTTTTTACTATAAATTGCACCCTGGACCTCCTAGGTTAAGAATAGGTGGTCCTGTACCTTTCTTCATTTGTTGAAAATTCAAGATGTTTCAAGTTAACTGAGCGGTAACATAAGAAAAATTGAGATTTGAATAGTTTTCTAAAGACTGTTGTTATCAATTGACTTGTTGTTGGTGAAAAAATGTTACGCATAATAGCACAAAAATGTTGAACACCTGTTTCAGAGTGATTTTCTGGGAGTTAAAAATGAAGTAAAATTTCAGTCATTACAATGTTGTAATGAACATTTCATTTTATACATTCTAATGGATATTTTAGTAGCATTGCATCTATGAAACAGCAAGCAGGACTTCATGTAGTGGTCGTTATAATCAGTCATCATAGTAAAGAATGTAGAATGTATATTCTATTTTAACCTCTAAGAATTTTGCCCCTTGGTAAAATTGTACAGAAATTTTCTGCTATATTCTATTTTTCCATTCTATAACATGGAGAAATCCAGCTGGTTTTTTGATGCAGGATGCTTTTCCAAACTTTCTAATACAGAAAAACCTGCGTCTAAAAGTTCAGAAAAAACTGAGACTATTGGTCTGAGGATCTATTTGAGGAAAAAAACATAGAAAAAGGAAGGAATTTACGCTTTATTAATTCACTTTTAAAAAGCGTGTACGAGAGAAAACTGGTTTAATTTTCTATTGCTATTCAATTTTCACATATATTGCATATTGAAATTTGCTGCAAAATTTTGTAATATGGCTCAAAAAACCGTTATTCTTCTGAAGGTTTGAATTTGTCTGTTCAGAACAAAGTTATAGCTTATGGAACATAAAATTGCAGTTTAATTTTGTGGAATTTATGGAATAGATCAATTTAGTTACTGATTTATGCTGATGACATCTATTATTTTAAATCTCTAGCATACTCTGTTGGGTAATAATATTTTCTGATAAATTATTCTATTAAAAGTTGCATGGTAAAGTAGTATGTAACAAAAATTACAATTTAACAAATTATATTAATTTGAAACAATTTAAAACTATTCTATTGCTGTTCTATTGTATTATATAACCAATTTTTTATTCTTTGAAAGAGTATTTTGAATTTTTTGTGTACCTTAAAATTAATCTCTGATAATTTACCTATACTGAATTTAAATGTAACAAATTGTGAAACTTTTTATAGGTTGTATGTACAGTATGGTGGCATTTGGATTGGTTTGTGGTTTTCTGCTTGGAGGATTCTTACTTTCTTTTCATGAAAATTACTTTCTGTATAATACTGTGCCTCCAAATTTATACCCTGGTCATCCAAGATGGATTGGAGCTTGGTGGGCAGGCTTTGTTATTTGTGGTGTGCTTCTGTTACTGGTAAGATCCTTATTATTCTGTTACTGTTGACTATCAGATGCAAATTCTGTTATTTCCTTGGGGGAAAAAAATAATGGAAATGAAGAAAAATAAAAAACCTTATTAGCTTTAAAAATATGCAGATCGAAATAAAATTCAACATGTTTCAAGTGCCCAAAAATAAGCTCTATGTTTTAAAGACTTGTCAGGCAAGAATTCACGTTCATTATTTTTGAGCACTTGAAAAATTACTATTTTCATTTTCTTATACATATTTTTAAAGTCAATAAAGTTTATTTTTCTTCCTCTTTTTACCACTTCAGTTTCTTATTATTTATTTAATACTTTTTTACATAGTCCTCTGCAATAGAATTATATGTAATGTTCCGTAACAATTTTTTTAAAATACGTATAATTACAAACAATGTGCAGTTATCTCAAATCTAAGCAAACAACTCTCATTGTTTAAATTATTGCTATTTTTTGTGTTAAATAGCTTGTAAGGAGTAAAATTACCATAATTAAGTGAATATCATAATATGTATGAATATATACTAGTAATAAAACTAAATTAACAGCGCATAAGTTTATGTGAACTTTGATTGTTCTGCAGCTTACATCATAGTTTTTAGCACAGCTTTGGCTGGTAGGCTATTAACTCATTTCAAAGTTTTTACTTTTATATTTATACAGTAGGGAACCGATTATCCGGAACGATCGGGGACCATCGCTATTCCGGATAACTGATTTTTCCGGTTTTCTGAATCGCAACAAATTGCAGCAATTTTTATTGTTAATCCCAACTAAAAAACATTTTTTTTTTGGAAATAATCTTAAAAAGAAGAAAAAACGATGGAGTAATACACTAATGATTATTTCCAAAATGATGGTAAGGTAAACGTCTTTCAAAAAAGAAAGAAAAATCCTAAAATCTTATGAGGAAAAAAAGTTTTGTTTAAAAAAAATGGCGGGAAAATGTATTGAATTTCGTTCCGGTTTTTTGGTTTTCCGGTTTTCTGATTTCCGGATAACGGGTTCTGTACTGTACATTAAATCTTCTGAATATTTTTGTTTTATTTGTTTATTGTTTTTCTTTCTCAAAGTTATCAGGCATAGTGTTTCTTGTAATTTGTTTTATCTTAATCCAAATCCATTTCTTTAATGTTTCTTTCTGATACTTAAGTAATTTATTGTTTCAGGTGTCCATTCCATATTTTGCTTTTCCAAAAGTCCTATTGAAAGAGAAGCAAAGATTAAGGTGGGAAGAGAAAGGAGAATACTGCAGTACAAGGCGTTTAAAAAGTGAAAGCAACACTTTAGAAAGGCAAAACGGACAAGAAATGGTTACTTATTCTGAACCAAATACTGGTCAGCATAATGTGAAAGATAAAGCTAAAGAATATGGCAAAGATATTAAAGGTAAACATTTTAATTCAATGTTTGATATTCTTCTTTCTATTTTACCACATTGGTACTGTTCTTTCTTCATTTGAAAAGTTTATTAGTTGCATCTGCAAAACTTCTTGCTGATTAGTTGAAAGAACTGTTTCTTTAAAATTAGCTTTTATCCTGTTTATGTTTTAAAATATTTGTGATAGTAGTATATTTTTTGAAATATATATTCTCAAAAACTTCTGAAGCTAAAATAATCAATTATTTTTCAATTTGCATTTACTTAAATGTTATCTTTAATCTTTATTTAGTTTATCTGAGCAAATGTTATTTCCATTATTTCTTTTAAAAAAAATTGCTTTTTTATTTTTATTTTAAAAAAAATTTTTATTCCTTTTAGACTACCTATTTCTTCAATTTTGTTTTCTTTAATTTTAATCATTAAAAAATTAGTTCTTTTTGAAAAACATTTTCACCAAGTAATTAGTGTCATATTTAAACTTTAAAATGTTAGTGACAAGAAAAATATGTTCATGTAAATAACAATATGAGAAACTCTCATGCAAATACATGAATTTTTAAATTATTATCTAACACTAGCACATGGATGTTGTGTACATGTCTAATTATTTATTTAAGTAACATATAATTACTCTGTACAGTAAAAAAAATATGTAGAATCGTTTTTATGAAGAAAGCAACAATTTAACAAATGTAATCATACATTTAGACATTTATTCCATTGTCAATAGTAACGAGATTTTTAAATAAGTTAAGTATAAAATATAGTTTTTTGTCTTTTAGCTTTATCTTTTAAAGAATGTCATTTTTTAATTATTTATCTGTAATAAAAATATTATATGTCACGAAAATATATATTCAGAAAATAATATATATTATTGAAATTGATAATCTGAATATTGGTACTCTTAATGTAAAAATACCCTAACATATTTTTAAAAAATATTTTGAGATTTAATTCCTAAACGTGCATATATTGAAGATTAAACAATACTTTTCAATGTGATTAGATATTCCTGCTTCCATGTGGCGTCTCTTGAGTAATCCAATCTATGTGGTTACATGCCTTGGTTCATGCATGGAGCTAAGTATTGTCAATGGTTTTCTTGTCTTCCTTCCTAAGTACCTTGAAACGCAGTTCAGCATTGGCAAATCTCAAGCAAGCATATTCACAGGTAAGCTTTCTTTGAATGGGGAACATTTATTTTTATTTTACATTATTCAGTGATTGAAATATTTTTTAAAGTTTTCTTGTTTTTTAAATTTGTATTGAAATACTTGCCTTATATATGTAATTATTTTAGAATGTTATGTGTTAACATGTAGTATGCTTCATGTAACAGAGTTATTGTTTATGATTGTTGTTATTTTATAATGAATGATAAAATATTCATCATGAAAAAATAATTAATCTCAAAATAATCAGGGATACTTTGATTAATTTAAATTTCTAGTGATAAATCTGTGTATATCTCCATCAGTTGGCAAAAAAAGAAAAAAATAATAACTTCCTGGTTATCAAGAATGCCCTTAGAATTCATTTATAGTATTTAAATATGTTTTCATTACTTTCTTTTTCAGTAAAAATTGAGAAATGTGGCTGGGAAAGTTACCCAGATAAATATAGTGTAACTTTACCATACCTGGGGCATTGTATTTAAAGCTGACAATAAATTCAATTTCTGAAAAATGTTTCCTTCGCTGGTGGTAAAATGAGCAAAAATAATTCTAGCAGTCTGAAATAGATTATTTATTTTTGTGTATTATATTTGTCCCTGGTACTTATTAAATTGTTAGATTTGCTTTATAAAATTTAAATAGATAATTATTAACAGAAATAGGAAATAAATAGAAATAAGAACATTTTTGTTGGTACATAAAAGGACTTTGCTGTTTTAAAAAAAAATCTTCAGTCTTCTTTGACAAAGGAGTTGAAGAAAGGTAGAAGTTGTCAGTTAGCGAAAAGCTTCAATGCATTGACTGTTTTCAAGAAAAGTGTATAGCTTATTTTCAGATTGTAAGCTCTCGAGATACATTTTCACAAAAAAATTTTTAGAAAATCACTGGTCATTTGAGTAACTGCTGTTTGTCTAATTTTTTAGTTAAAATCCAGGCCAAGTGATTCTAATTGATGGTATATAAAACAAATTTAACTTAAAGAAACCTTCCTGCCATTTTATCTCTGTGCACTAAATTAGAATTATTTTTCAGGTGGAATTGCAATACCTGGAGCTTGTGTTGGAATTTTCATGGGTGGATATTTATTGAAACGCTTACAGCTTAAACCCAAAGGTATTTCATATAATTAGTATCTGCATTTACCCAATAACTGTGACACTAATTATTCATATTATGCAACAACTCGCCCCCCCCCCAATACCGAAAGGCATATCATTTAAAATTTACGGAAAACAATGTATATTCTCTTTGTCATATAACATGTAACTTCATATTTATTCATAAATGTTTTTTGTTCTCACACTGAAAATGATTTTTTTTTGAAGCTTTTTTTTTTGCTTGTAATTATTATCCAAAAGTTTTAAAATATTTATTGAATAAAATAAAATATTTAAAACGTAAGTTAACAATTTAACACTTTTTCTAAATTCTTTTACTATCTTTTAAATTTATGAAATAAAAAGTATAAAACTACAATTGTTTCAGTTGTAGAATAGTTTCACACGCTTTATTAATGTTTTATTAATTTATTAAAATTGTTTAAGTTTTTTAAGTTACTGATGATAACTTAATTATATTTTCAACTTTACTTCTATTCTTTAAGTGTGAAATATATTTCAGTATCGTTAAAAGTTTGACGTTTGAAAATACTTTTAACAAATCCATTTTCAATATCATTGTCAAAAAATGTGAACATTACTTTAAAAGTGCTAGAAAAATGTTACTTAATTAAAATGCAAATACTGCTATTTATTATCATTTTTAAATTTCAAACTAGTAAATCAACTTCCAAAAGTTGTGTCATAGTACTTAATTTCAAAATTTGTATAGTTTAAGCAAATAAATTAAAGCTTTTTTATTTATCACTATTCTTGGTAGACTTCTCACTTTCAAACTGATACAGGACTTATAAAAACCTATTTATTTTATAGCTAAGGTTTAAAAATATTATGTTTTCATCGTTGATTTATTTTTTTGCTTGTCTGTTGAAAAAAAAAAAAGCGTTACTTTTTAGTTATTTATTCTATTTGGCTTAATTTAATAACTATGGATTAATTTTAATTAGATATAGATTGTTTATTCATTTGTTAGTTACTTTTTAGGATAGTTTGATAATTGTTACAAAAAAAATTTTTTTTAATTAATATTGCTGAATTACGTTTTGCAATTTTATTGATGTTTTTTTATTGATCTATCCTATAATTAATTTTTTAAGCGATGCTAGTATATTGGATTTTAATTGCTCATTGCATTTTTGTTTTCAAAAATGTTTTTACATGGATTAAATGCAATTTAATTTCAATTATGCACAGATTATTTATATATTTTATTATTATTTTTGTAACAACATCATACTTGAGAAAGAAAAAACAATTTTTTTAAATATTGCCCAGTATTTTCCCTTAGTCTAATTTTCCCTTTCAATCTCATTTGTAGTTTTGACAATTTATTATTTCTAATGAGATTTGACATTATTTAAATCACCTGATTTTTTTTAAAATAAAAATCATTGATTTATGCTTTCTTAGAGTTGCTGTTTTATTTATAACTTTAATTTACATTTTTATTCAATATAAATTTTGAATTTTAAAAAAAATCCTGTAATTTTATGCAAATCTGCATCGAAAAGTCAAGGAATAAGTTTCTTCTTTTTGAATAAGAACCCTGTGTAAAATTATTTAGTTTTTTTTATGTTGATAAATTATCTTTCTTATTTTTAGGTGCGATTCAGTTTGTCCTCTTCTTTAATATTGTGTGTATGGGTCTTTACACACTTCTATATTTTCTTGGTTGTGACAACATAAGAATGGCCGGAGCAACACTTCCCTACTTCAATAAGTAAATATTGTTCTTCTTTTTATTTATTTTTCTAGATACTGGTAGTTTGTTATTAATGACTAGCCGTTTTTGGCGATCAGATTGGTTACCTTTCAAAATTGTCTTGTGCAATGTATAAACTTTAATGGTAAACAAGCTGAATGCACTGCATAACTGTATTTAAATATTCTTATTCTTTAAACCCTCCTCCATTCCTATAAATAATCCCAAACAATATTTTAGGCAAATTTGTCACTGTCTGGGTATTGACGGCGGCTTTGCCTGCATGAAAGTACTTTGATTTCAATTTTAGCTATTTTCTAGAAATGTTGCCAATATTCTCAAAATTCCATTGAATTTTAGTGTTCAGCCGTAAATGAATAATTTAACAATAACTTGTTAAAAGAAATTTTTTGTTATTTGTTGCTTTATAACGCAGGCACTCTGAAACTCTTGCTAACTGGAATATTTTGTCTGCTTGTCAGTTGAATTAGCGATTTCATATAGCGTGTTTACCTTAGAATTCAATCATTAAATTCTTCAAGGTTTTATTTTATTTTTATTACTTTAAATTTTATGCAAGCTTCAGGGTGCATAATTCCTTAATCCAGCTATTTAGGAAGTTCAAGTCTGTTCTAGGTCTGTTTTTATTTTAAAGTTTTTAATAAATAGTTTATTTTGGCAATTTAGTTTCATTATTCAATGGCTCATGTTAGTTTTCCCCCACATTTAGTAATAATTTAAAATCTGTCTAGCACTCATTAAATCACACACATCACCCTTAGTATAAGTTTGAGATATTTCAACATAGTAGACAAATGAAGTTAAGTTTGAGATATTTCAACATAGTAGACAAATGAAGTATTAAAATTATCTAAAAGCTTCTAAGTATTCAAATTGTGATAAGATAGAAAACTCATCCCAATGCTCCACTACATGCTGTACTAACTCCTCACACAGCTCTGGTGCCATAACTTGAGTATCGTATAGTAGATAGGCTATTTGCTCAAAAACAGGGTTGATTGTGCTCCGAAAAAATCCGGATTTTTCGCTAACTGCTATCCGAAAGTTTCCGGAAATCCAAAGTCCAGAAGTTTCAAGAAATCATCTATAACATTTATATATAAAAATTCTTTTATATTTTTTTTAAAAATATTGGAACTAGAATTTATACTTGGCATCTCTTTCATTTGTAAATATTTTTTCTGGTGGAATAATAAATGTAATTAGAGACAAAAGTAAACTTACACATAATTATTCATTTAAATTATGCTGCATATAATTCATTTAGAATATCATGTTTTGAAAATTTCAATGATTTAAATTTATAAAGATATTAATTTTTTGAATGAGTTTACTCAAGAAATTTTCAGGATTTTTTAGTTGGACCCATAATCACCCCTGCAAAAAGCAAACTAGCATCAATAATTGGTAGGACGGTATGCGGCACCGTAGCACCATTTATATTTGAGTCTCTACAGCCATTTTAGAAAGGATCAAAATAAATCTAAATTACTTCGTACTGAGTTTTTATTTCTATAAAAATACAACAATATTCTGACTAAATACTTAACGTTTAACTAATTGTTCAACACTGCTTAAATTATTGAAGACAACCTAGCAGAATAATAACTATGGGAACAGGAATAATAATTATGATGTTGCTACCAAAAAACAGTGAAATACCCAAGTTTATGGGGCCTCATTAGAGAAATGTATATATGTAACTTATATTGTACAGTTGTTAATTTAAAAGTAATTTTATTGATATTTGTACGGAATCATTGATGTAATGCTGGGGAATTTTACCATTGTATAGTGTTTTATTTATATTATGTCCTTTCTATATAAAAGACAAAATAAGTCTTCCAGACGAATTGTCAGTCAATATTGTAATTATATATGTGTCTATTTTTAATGTCGTTATTTATATATTTATGTGAATTTTGCATTAAATTTTGTAATTGTTTTTTATTTTTATCTTAGTACTTTGAATTCTGAATTTGAGCCTTTTCAAGTGAACTTAACTGCAGACTGCAATATGGGATGTCGCTGCAGTCAAAATGAAATTGAACCTGTTTGTGGAAGTAATGGCATAACTTACTTCTCTCCATGTCATGCAGGCTGTAGAGCTGAAATTGATTACAAATATAATGTAAGTATGACGCTATTAATTTAGTTCCATTTAGTTTTTATTAAATGTGTATGTTTCACACTCTTTTATGTTATAGGAAACATTTATTCTAGATTCGCATTTCACTTACCGTTGTTGATAACTAGTAACACATAGTGGTGTAGTTCTGTTGAACCTGAGTTATTTTATATTTTATTTTATAACCGTCGTCCCAATTTCATGGGTTTACGACTACTAACGTTCAACTCCGTAGCCTTGTAATTTTGAACCAATCCAGAAGACAAGGAAACTCCTGGATCAGTACCCCCAGAGGTATTGATTTGTTGTAGGAACATGGAGGACTTTAAGACTCGACAGATTTAACGTGCATCTGTCACCATTTACTACACGGGGAGTCTTCGGCCGGCGAGGATCGAACCCACGACCTCTTGGATATGGGCCCAGCGCCCTACCGACCAGGCTATCCTGGCCCCCAAACCTGAGTTATTAATTTTAGTAGTGCCAATGAGATAAAATCCATGCCAGTTTACATTGACAGAGCTGCCAGCTTTTTTATTTTTTGATGTTGTTTTTGCCCATTTGTAGTTAGATAAATTAAGTAATTATATTATTTTGAATTTGTTAAAGTAAGTAGCTACTTTTTTTTACCTTGACGCAGAATTTTTACTAAACATATTTGACATACTTTCTTTCATTATTTTGTATTTATTTATTTCAAAATAAATGAAAAATATATTTAGCAGTTAATTAATTTATGATTATGAAATACAGCAGGAAACATTGGTGTCTTTTTCTACGTTGAAGGTAAATACTTCTACACACAGCTCGCTTCCGGACAATTCTTCGAATTTTCAGTTTTTTAGATCTACGAGAAGCAGAAATTCATCATTGAAATTTCTTTAATTTTCAGAATGAATTATTGATTAATTTTTAAATATGAAAAGAAAACATTTTTTGAAGCTACTTTTCTTGGATTTTATATTTTAGTACAAACTTATTTCTAATAATCTAACAAAAAATTTTTAGTAACTATTACACTGTTTTGTTAAGTTAAAAAATACCTAAATATACTTTTGCTTGTAATTAGAGTGTCAGAAAAAAGTATATAAAAGGGACACTAGTAACCCATCTGCGTCAAAGGGTTATAAATTTCGTTACAAGATTATCCAGTATTTATTTATTTATGCATGTTACTTTTTATATATCATGGTGGACAAATTCATGTTAAATCAAATTCACTCGTATTAAATCCTGAAAGCATAAATCTTGCTACCACTGAAAAAAATCTTATGCCAAAGAGTAAAAATTGCTTGATAATTCATAAAAATTAAAATATGTTTAAATCAGAGGTTGAAATTTTAATTATTCTCAACTTAAATAAGATATTATTTAGTGAATTATGTCTCAGAAACCATTTAATATGAAAAATGCAGTTTACTATTTAGTATTTCTTTACGAAACCTTGTTCCAGAGATCATTGGTATGGATTGAGGAGAGAATTGTTTAAAATGTTTTTAATAGTATTCATTTAGCATTCACAAATAAACTGATTATTGATATTTATTTTGCAGTATTTATGGAAGCATTTAAAATGCGACTTCATTGCTTAATTAATATAACAGTTGTTATTAAAGAATTTTAACAGATTTTTTTTCTGACAATAAACATTAAATCTAGAATAAACATTTTTTTAAAGATTTTGCATAGTCAGATTTTGCATAGTTTGTTGTCAGATTTTTAACAAATATCTTAGTTTTTTTAATAATTTTAACTTTTATGTATCCAAAACTATTAATTGAATAATTTATAGCTTTAAATGTTTCGAAAACGAGTTAGTGTTCAAATCTTCTTTTAACAGCAGAAAAAAAACTTAAAATACTTTTTTATGATACGTTATTTTGTGAGCAATTGTTATCTTTAGAAGTGTTTTTTTTAGATCTGTTAGGAAATTCATTGGCCTTTTAAGATTCAATCACTCTTTTCTATTATAGACTTATATTAGAGTATTTATTTGGTGATGTGCAAATTTATTATTTATGTTGTATATTTTCCATTTTGTTTTTAATTTTGATTTTTAAAATTTTTCAATATAGTAGTTTTGCTGAAAGCGCTTTCAAAAAATTATTTTACAATCTCAAAGTTGCTCCTAAGTTTTTCAACAGCGTAAGCCTTTCTTGAAAGATCAATCTGTAGGTGGTGACAAATAAAATGGAGACTTTCAAATATTTACCATTCCTTAAAATACTGGCAAAACATGGTTAATTAAAATAAAAGCTAATTGTTTTATCAAATTTTTTTTGTATTTATAATGCAAAGTTATATTTAATGAAATATATTTTAGTTTGTTAATAATTATTTCTCTTTCTAGAGCTATTCCAATTGTGCCTGTATATTAGCCAACACTTCTCGAGCTCATGAAGTTCTGGCATTTCCTTTAGCAACGAGTGGCCCTTGTCCGAATGTCTGTCATGTTATTATTCCATTTATGATTTTACTGTTTGTCATGACTCTTGTTGTTTCTATTACCCACATGCCACTGTTGATGATTACTTTGAGGTAACTTTAACATTTGATCATCATAACTATTTTTTAAGTTAAACAAGCATTAAAATATTTTTTTTAAAAATAAATAAAAATTGAGTACTCTGAAATTTTACTGTAATTTTTCTTATATATCTATTATATATTTTTAAATGTTAATTATTATTTAATTGCAAATTTTTTTTATCAACTTCTAGTTCTTTCTAGTTATATTTTTAAGCTTTTAGTAAAATTATTTTGAATGATTTATGACTGGCTTAATTTTTTTTCTCTAATTATTCGAGTTTTGTTGTGCTAAGCACTTATTAGTCTTTTGTAATGACCAAGATGTCTATGTATATTTTGTTACTTGTGTTTTTTTTTTTTTTAAACTTTTCTCCCACAAAAGTCAAGTTTAATGTTCTTTCTCTGCATATATATGTTTTCATCTTTTTTTTTTCTTAAAAAATAATAGATTACATTTGATTTTTTATTTTGTATCAAATTTATTGTTTAATTATAGTATAGTAACTATATAGATACAGTTATCTGGTTTAGAAAATGACTATGAATAATTTTAGCATAAATAATGTATACCACATTCAAAATAAATAATGGATGCACAATCAAATATAAATAATATATTTCTGTTTATAATTAGTAGAGAAAAGAAAGTGTGGGAAATGAGTAGTTATCGACCGTGTCTACCTTTATCTATGAAAAGGTACCCCAACATAGAATGGTGTTAATATGTCTTATATACTAGAGAATTGAAATTATATTTTTGTAGTGGTAGATACACTACAGTACTTCCCACCAGAATTTTATCTGTGATAGATTTCGTAGATACCACTAATTGATTCATTGTTTTTTTGTGAGAAGTCAGGAGAGCTGTATTAAGATCACCATACTTTTTGAGTGCTGATCGTGAGAGCTGTATTAAGTTCACAGTCGTGGTCGCTCTTGTGTAGCCTTTAGCAGTCGAGTGTATGCGTTTTACATTGTGTGATCGAGACTGAGAAGCAACAGCCTGAGGAGGGCAATGTCGCAGTCACAAGTTGACAGTCAACTATTCAATGTAGACCATCCATTAAAGTAGGCGTGTTCAAATCGTAGTGGGAGTTTCTGTCAAGGTAGGCGTGTTCTCATCACGTCAAAATGTCACCAATGTGAGGAGAGAGTAGTTATCGACCATGTCAACCTTCATCTATGAAAAGATACCCCAACATAGAATCGAGTTAACATATCTTATATCCTAGAGAATTGGAATTATATTCTTTTAGTGGTAGGTATATACACTACAAAAGGATAATTATTTTTTTCAGAATACTATGAAATTATAATATTTTTACTTCCGCTTTCAAATTTTTGATTTTACCTTGCTTCCATGTGCAATGCTTACTTTTGAATAATTAAACAAGTTAAAGAGGACAAGCTTCACAAGTAGTTTTTGATGAGGCATGAAATTAAATATTTTGATGACCCACGGTAGATTGATTGTAGGACATGGATTTCCAGTAGATCACTGAAGTCAAGCATCATTGTTTGTGGTCAGTGAGCGGTTTGATCAGCTTGTAGAGGGACTGAGGGTGTGTGGTATCAGTTCTCACTAAATTGTTTTGCAGTAAAGTGCTTGACTACTCGTGCAGATTGTAGAGCTACCAAAGTGGGGGAGCGATGCCCTCTGCAGCCAATCAAAATTATGATAGCATGTCTTCGGATCATCCTAGGAGATGTTTCCTAGACGGCCACCAATATCCAACTCTGGTGTAACTTAAGTATCACAACTATATATTTTAACAATTTATGATTGCTTACTGAGTTTCAGACATTTGAAAATGTGTATTACTCGAGGAGTTTTACATTGTAATCTTAAACAGAGTCTAAAGATTCTTTTTTTTTTTTTTTTAAATGTGGTTGAGCTTCTTACATTTTATCATCATTTACTTAAAAATGTATAAATCTGATTTCCAGGTCAGTTGATGAAGAAGAAAGAGCATTTGCTTTGGGAATGCAGTTTGTTATATTCCGCCTTTTTGGTAATTATGTTTTTTTTTCTTCACTCTATTAATAATATGAATAAAAATGTTATTAGGTTAAAATTAAGTGTATAAAATATGTGTGCACATACATACATATACATATATAATATGGTAGAAGATCTTTGTAATGCATACCTCAAAGCTCGAGGCTTTGCATTATGTAGAATTTTGTGTTATAGAACAGTTTAATATTAATACTGTTGAATAATTTTTAAATACTAATACTTTAAAATACATTAATATGCACTAGATTTTGTTCTCAAAAATCATAAGAAATAGGTTTAGAATAAAATAGTTAAAAACATTAAAAATTTAAATCAACAAATTTATCAATTTTAGTTTGTGTTTTAAAATTATTGCAGTATATGGAGAATTGTGTTATATAGAACTTCTACGGTATTAAGCTACATAAACAGCCAATACTTTTAAAAAAATAAATAAAATATCAACTAACTCTTATGTTCCATTAAAATTATTTAATTTTAAAAAAATGCAAAATAAGAGTAAGTTGAAGTAAAATTAATATGTAATAATTAAAAAAATTTCAGTGAAAGTAAAAGCTTTTGTAACAAGTGAAATTTATTAAATGAATGCAATGTTATCTATTTGCATGCATGAACTTATATATTATTGTAAACATTTTAAGAAATTATTCATAACTTAGTAACTGTCAGACATCATTTACAAAAAATGCATATTTAATTTTTTAAACTAATTTGTTTAAAATTAATTTGTATAAATTATAATTCATTTTCTAATTAATCTTATTTCTTAATATATATGTTGTATTTTCTAAATAAAATTTTGAAATTATGCTTAAAATTTTAGGTATAATTATTTTTATTGGTAATAAAAGAGTAAGAAATGTATAAATAATATTAACAACATAAATAACAGGATATTTATTACATTACTAAACTAACCTATCTCCCTTTATAAATTAACCACTAAAGCAATGCACCTCAAGATGTCAACTTTCAGAGGTTTCTCTCTTTGAATATTAATTAAATATCATTATGTACTTCATGTTTTTACTAATTTGTTTGATAATTTGATTTATTAAAATTACCGTTCGAGTTTATTTAAAAAGTTTTTTTTTAAAAATATGATTGATATGCAGCTTTTTTTTATTTGTGCGAGAATTTCAATTTGAGAGCTTTGCATTTGTTATAACAGATTTCCTTATTTTCAGGTTACATACCATCTCCTATTATGTTTGGGAATGTGATTGACTCAACTTGTATATTATGGAAAGCTCATTGTGGTCGGCCTGGTGGTTTTTGTCTGATGTATAATATTGAACATTTTCGAATTAAGTATGTATACTTCAAATTTTACAATTTACAAAAGTATCGTTTTTTTTTTAACTTCCAAGCATAATGTGGGATCAGTGGTCAAAAGTATATAGAAGCTACTGTAGTCACAATTTTTCCATATTTTTTGGTATAGTCAGACCCTTACATTGATAGTTCAGTGAATGTAATGTGTAGTAATTACTGGCAACTTTTTTTAAGGTTGGTTTAGTAACAAAACAAAGTTCAAAAACAATTTTAATCTGATTGGTACAAGTTTTTCAGGTCTGTCACTGGACGGGAGGAGACTGTCCTTGTGGCCGAGCGTTAATTAGAATTTTAGATTGTTTGATGCTTTAAAGCAGCTAGTTTCCCCCCCTTAATTAAGCCATTAAAAATAATAGCTAATTTATCCTTTTCGCCATATCTTCAAATAGCTAATTTATCATTTTTTTGCTCATGAAATACTAAAAGAATATACATCTTGTTTCAATAAAATGGAACACATTTTGCTCTGTGATTTCCGATGTACTTTATTTCTTATACAAAATAAAAGAGCATCGAACTTTTTACAAAATCGCGAATATTTTATATTTTTCTAGTATTTTTAAATTAAGTATTTGCTGTCAAGAATGGCATAAAGAATTGAAGATTAGAAGAACAAATTGGAGATTAATAGAAAAAATTGTTAAAAAATGGTTTAGAATAATAAACTGGCTGTTAAATATTTTGTTATAATTCCTCATATTTAAATCGACCAGTTTTTTTTTAGTTTTTTTTTTTATTCAAAACTATTTTGAACATGGATGTAAATTGAGTTCTCAAGCAGTGTTTTCATCTCAGAAAAAAAATGGGTGAGATTTCAAAAATTTAAAAAAAAAAAAAAAAAAAAAAAAAAAAAAAAAAAAAAACGCAAAGAGACTTAAAAAAAAAATAATAATTTCTTTAATTATGATGCATTTTTAACATCTTCTAATTTTTAAAGCATTGAATATTTTTGCTGCATCATCATATGGAAAATGTTCTACATCTACTTTTTCATCAGCTATTCTCATTAGGTTGCTCAAATGCGTATTTGTTTCGTTTTGATCGCTTCTACCCACATTTGTTTCATTTTCATTTGTCCGTTTCGGAGTAGAAGATATTGGCTTTACAAGGTATTTGTCCATCTTGCATTAACGAGCAAAAACTTTTAACGTCTTACATGAAGAAACCTTACCTACGGTAAACACGTGGTTGCAGAGAAATGCGTTCTGAAAGAGGTTCCGTGGTTCGGAAGGATGGTGTTCTGTTGTTCTTCAAGGTTTTGAACAATACTGGTAAATAGGGAAGCTAGATAATGGGGCAGATGTTGAAAATAATAAAAGATTCAGGAAGAAAAGTGAAACGGATTTTATTCTAAATGGCGCAAAAGAGAAATTTTTTTCAAAATGCGAGAAATTCGTGAATTTTGAAATTTTTTTATAGAATGCGAGAATTTCTCGCGGTAATAATTTTTTAATGTGAGAATATAAAAAAATATGCGAGATTCTCGCGTTCTCGCGCTGTAGTGAAAACACTGTCAAGCAAAGTTTAGTTTTCAGTTTTAAAATACGGAATCTATTCGTAACCTGTTTCATTAATTTAAATTGTTTATTTTATTTACATGCGTCTAAAAAAATTGTCCTCTTCAAATTTTCAAACATTCCAAACTCTGATCAAGATTTTCAACATAAAAAATCTCATATTAGGAATTGTAAATAATAGAAATTGGTAAATGTGCATAATGCATTTATGTTTGAAATTTAAGTGTTTTTATGCCTATATTTGTAATGTTTCAGGTATATTGGTGTTTGTTCTGGCCTAAAAGTGGCATCTGGACTCTTATTCTTTCTCGACTGGATGCTTATATCATGGAAGCACAAGAAAGACATCGAGCAACCACCAACGCTCACAGTTGGTGAAATAGTGTCTTCCATTATATCCTTAGATCGATTATCAATGCTTGGCTGGGGTGACGCCAACATTGACTCGAATAAGGATCCTCCTGAAGACTCTATGCCTTTGGAAATGGAAGAGGACTCTATTGTTAACCCTCTTCCGCCTCGACCAATTAGGAAGCATAAGAGGGGAAGCTCAGCGAGTGAGATGCTTAGTCCTCGTTGAGTTCTTGTTAAATTGCCAAGAAAGGGATATGGTAATGCTTACACAACCTTACTACTGATGACAGTAGGCACTCAACTATAGCTGGCAAAATTGCTTGCAAACAATAAATAATACTGTATTATTTATATATAGATTTGGATAATACTGTAAACTGTATTTTCTTTAGGGCAGAGGAGCTTATTTGAAATGGGGAAAGAGGATTTGTTGTTAACCTATTAAAATTTTAAGTAACTGTTTAATTTGTTATTATTAAACAGATATTAATAACAAACTAAATAGTTATAATAACATTTTATAGTTTTTATTATAAAACAATTATAATAGAAACTATTCAAATTTTAAATTATTTAATTTGTTATTCTTGTTGTTAATTATTCGTTGTGATGTGTTTAAAATGTTACTAGGAAAGAGGTACTGATGACTTAATTAAGTTGAAGTTTTAAAAAAATTCAATTCGCTTTTTTTAATTAATGTTTCAAACTAAACAATTCAAGTTACTCAAATATTTACTTGAAAAAATTTTTTCAAATAATTAATCCATAAACTTAAGAATTTCCTATGTACTATCATCTATTTAAAATTATTTATTTCGAAAATTTTATTAAAAAAACTCTTTCTGGGTAGATTTTAATACTTAATTTGTAGAAATGTAATATTGCTTAGAAAAAATAATTAAAGGTTTAAAATAAAACTAATCTAGAAAATTAAAATTCTTAAATAATCTGCAAATGAGAAAACATATTCAGGTGTCATCATTTGTGAAATATGCGCGAGTTGAAAGTAAAAGTTATTAATATTTTAAATTGTGCTTTTTATAGTGAAGATATGATAAAAAAAATGGTATTAATTGTTATTGCTACACTCTTTGGTTGTTAAATATATTAATCAAACTTTAGTGTTAATTATACATCTGATTTTTTTTTCTCCAAAATTTGCATTAGTTTGTGCTAATACTTCAAAATAAATTACATGTTATTTAATTATTTCTATGTATCATTATTGGAAAAGGCATTAACTAAGCTTAAAGGCTTGTTATTTCGTAATTATTTCTTTTATTAATTGAAGCAAAGTAGTGTTGATTTTAGGAAAATGCTCTTAAATTTTCATTTAAATCTGCATCAAGTAATAAAATTTAAAATTTGCAATCCTTGAAGATCTTAAAAAGTTAGGATAACATAAACACAACTACCGAGACTGGCAAAAGTCTGTAGTCAATTCAATGAATGTTTAATTATCTAATATCAAATGGTATATAGATTTCATAATATCTATATATTCAAAATTTTTAAATCATATATATTTAGTATTTTTAAATCATGGTCACTTGTTTTTCTTGAGCTACTTATTTATTTATTTTTGCCACTATTAATTACATTGTGGTGATATGTTTTATGGTCTACTTACTTTCGCTTTGATTTTTTCCCTCGATAATTGCCAGTTGCCTTCCAAAGGGTAATATTAAAACTTTGGTGGATTCTACAAATGTTTTGCATTTTCATATCCCTTTAGACTGAAATAATTTATCAGTGATGATATGTACAATACTGCTGAGTACAGATCTCTAAATATTGCAGTACTTCGTTCTTGTAGAATGTGTTTGTGCCTGATGAAAATGTTTATTTATTTTCTACGTGATACTCCATCCACTTTAAGTTGTTTTTAGACACATATTAATTTTCTCTGGGGTGACTTGTATCTCATTGAAGAAAATATGCTCTCAACATATGATACAAATATTTTGCCTGTATTATGTAAATATATATATTTGTATAGTATTATTGTGTAGATATATTTAACTTGTAAAAAAAAAAATAGGGCAGTAAAATCTTGTAGAGTAAAACTTAAGTAATATATTGTTATTAACCATTCAAATATTTGCCCTGAAAGGCTCTTGAGAAATTAGAAAATAATCTAGATACAAAATTTTGAAAATCTTAATTTTTCACTAAAGTAAAATATTTATTTTTTAAACATTTTTTTCCTTATTAAATCTAATTGTGTTTTGTTTTAATATCAATGAATTCATTTAGTTTTTCTTATTGGTAAATGTATTTCTGCAATAATCAATTTTTATAACTTGATTGAATATTATGACTAGCTGTTAGAAATTAAAAAAATCAATTCCATTAGTAACTCAAATTATTTATAGTTTACCTGTTTTGTTTTGGTTATAGTTTACCAAACACATTTTTGCAATTTAAATCTCTTTTTTTTTAAATATTAAACATTTACATAAAATCTTTTTTAAAAAATCATTGAAATAAATTGATTTTCCCTACTCTGGGACCAAATTGTTTATTATTGCTATCTTTTTTTTCCTCATTGATTTCTCTAATTTTTTATTGTATAACAAAAACAAAATTAATATTATAAGTTGCAATTTTTTATTTATATTTAAATTCTATCAAAGTTTCTTCTGCATTAAATTTATCTAGAAAAACATTGTGAGATACATCTCACCTAAAATATTTTGTATAATATTGTAGATCTTGTGTATAGAAGTTTAAAAAAGACAACACTAATGTTAATAGGAATAAATACTTTTTTTTTTATAAATATATTTAATGCTAGTTGGATTATATCTAACAGTCAGCTTATTATTTTTCTTTTAGATGATGTATTTTTTCTTCTTCCTGTGGCTAAATAATTTTACTAGAAAAGCTTATTAGTACAATTAAATAACTAACATATGCTGATTGCCTTATATGAGCTTTAACAGATATGAATGTCTCATATTGGTTTTTTTCGTCAAGTTTATTGATTGAAAAGTTTTCTTTATTGTATAAATAACGTTTTATACACTTATTTGTACTCAATTCATTAATAGCTTTTAATTTATTACTAAACTCTTTGAAATTATGAATATTTAAATTTTTACTGCTGCTTAAAATTCTCTTTCAAATTATAATCGCAAAAAGTGTGAATGTATTTAACCTTAAGTAAAATGACAATCAATGTATTACATATACTGCCTAGGCAGTTCAATTCTAGCTATTATTTCTCAGAAAAGTATAAAACTGTTGTATTTTAAAATATTTATTAAAATGGCAGGTGCAGAAAAACGTTTTTCTTGTATTAGATATGATTTTTTTTTTCTTATGAAAATGACATGATTTGATGCATTTATAAATTTTTTTGAGATATATTTAATGGCATTTATTAGAGCATTCGAAATGAAGTTGACTCTAGCATTCGAAGACTCTAGCCTTCTGATTCCATCTTAAACTTTACGCATTTTAATTTTTCAAAAATTATTAACGTTTGTTTAACCAAAACGGAAAAACTAGTTTGTGTCTATAAAAAGTTATCACTTGGTAAATAGTTTTTTTTTTCAGTTATCATACAAATTCCTAAGTTGCTTTTTAAATATTTTTAAGTTAGATTATAACAGTTCATTCACAGAGTTAAGCTCTACTATCCAGTGCCAAAGAACTTGCCGCTATGACTTCAAACAATATAGCAATAAAATGTTCGGGGTCTAAGGGATGTTGTCCAAGTGGTCAAACAGAATCATTATAAATGTTTAAAATTTCTTTTTATTTAAAAAAAAATGAAAATGAATTTTAGTTGCTCAGAAGCCAATATATTAAAAAAAATAGAAAAAGAGAAAATAAATTAAATAAGTAATTTGTATTTCCTAAAATTTATAATTGTTCTAAACTCAATGTTTTTTTTTCCTGGATGAATCTGATAATATTACCAAATCTATCCCATAAGCCTTGGATTATGTTAAAAAGAATAGTAGGAGGGTATATCCTCAATAAATAGAAATTTCTTAATATTTCTAACAAGTAAAGAAAATTTTTAGTAATCATCATTAATTTAATAAATTTATACGAGTTAAAAACAAAGTGAGAAATAAAAATTCATCATATTTCTGTAGAACTTTTTTTGACTGAAACTTAAGTGATAACTATTTATTGTCTTAAATTTATTTTAATATATAAAAGCAACAGAAAGTATCCTTTTTCATTGATAACCAAATAATATACCCGCATAACTAATAATTTGAAATTAAAAGTGTTTAAGCATATTAACTATTACAGTAACTATTTAGAAAAATTAAAGTAATATTTGGTTCATAAAATAAGAACATATTTTCTGAATGCTCTAATACTTACTTGAATTAATAATGCATATTTACATTTTACAGCATTGCATTATTGTAATCTCAGTATGTGATATACGATCGATTACTAGTTTAAATTTAAACCATAGTCTGTTTCTATTTCTTTTGGGTGATATTTTTAGTATTGTCACAGTTTTTAGATTGCAGGTGCCTTTTATATTGTGTTTTGGTGTTTGCTATGTTTTTAATATTTGTGTCCCTCATCTTCAGTATTTTAAGTTTTAATTTCATTTATTTGCTTTTTTTATCACAAGTGATGGCAACCGTTATTTTAATTGTATTTATTGCTTTGTATAGTTTATTAATATACTAATTTTTTTAGTATTACTTGCTTTTCCAAGTTTCTGAGCTTTGGAGTCTACTGTTATGAATAATTGGTTAAATTATTTATTTATTTTTTTCTTTTAATTTAAAGCATTTTACTTCAATAAATGATTGAATTATAACATTAAAAGTGTATTTAAATTTCTAAAAATTGTAGAGTTAGTATAGTTTTTAGAACACCGAAAAAAGTTGTGTTGGGAAATAGTTTGTGGAATGAGAAATAGTACTAAAATTCAAGTGGTATTTGTCATTTTGCCATGAATACCACCTGTTTTTAAGGAATAATTCTCAAATACAAAAGAAAAGCCAGCTCATATTTTTCAAATATGGTATAAACCTTATTTTATATGTGACTTATCTTGTAAAACATAGCAACATTGTTTGCTTGTGTTTTATGAATGTTTGTGTTAAACAAATTAGTGCAATTTTAGAATAATTTATTTATATATAAGTTTTGAATGCAGAAATTTTGAGAAAATTTCTGTTGTATGAAATTAGTATTTTTAATTATCAATTATGTGGTGTTTGTTTACCTTTAATGCTGGACTCAAACTGAAATCTCATTTTTCTGAATTTCTAGTATATATTAACGTATTTTTTTAATATTTTTATTTACAGATTTATCTTTATTTTAATTATATTCGTCTTATAATTTTTCTCTTGTCACTCTAATATAGTATTATTCTCTCTTTACTTTCTGAATGTTCCATAAAAAATTTTATTAAACAATTTTGATAAAAGACGGTTCTGTTGTATTATAAATCATTTCGTTAAAATGAATGTTTGCATTTCTATATAAATTTTACTAATAATCAAAACTTAAATTTACTTAAAAATTCTGAAAATTTCTTCAAAAACTTAATTTTAAAAAGGCTTAAGTTTTATTTATCATGCTTCATATGAACAATAAAAAATAAAATAAATGCCTCATTTTTAATTATTTTAAATTACTTGTTGTTTGATTCGTAACCTTTAGTAGAAATGCCAAATATGGGAAATATGTTATCTTAATGTACTGTGTTATAAATACCATTAAAAGATGTATATTGTGTAGATATCTATATATAATTTAACTTTTTTCTGCTTCATTTTGAGAATGAAGATAAATTTTTTTTGAAGGTTTTACAACTTTATCTGAATTTATTTACCTCAAAAATTTCTTGAATAATAGATTTATTTGAAGACAATATTACAAATTTTAAGCATATGTTTTATAAATTTGAATATTTTCTTTTCTTTATTTTAATGACTATGGCAATTAGAATTGATATGCATGTTTCATACATTATCACCAGCACAATTGATCAATGCAATAAAAGAAACCTTACACTTGTATTTATTTTTTACTTATGTTAATTGCATTGACTTAATCTTGGAACTGTGAGTAATGGTTATATCTTTTATGAAAAATGACAACCTTACTTTTACCTTTATAGAAAAATAACATAATAAATTTACTAAGTTTTTTTTAACAGTTTTCAAGGATGAAAACTCAATATTTTATGAATGACATTAGCTCAATGAGAATAGAAAAATAGAAGAAATCTTTTTTTTTTCTTTTATAACACTATTTTGCTTTTCAAAATTTATTATTAATTCTATGGTTATAGTTTGTTAAAATATGGTGCATTTATCTCGTTAATTTATATTCATATCAATTATTTGTATGATTTCATTATTTTCATATTTAACATTTCTACACTGCTTCATAAAATTTAATTTTTACAAATATTGAGTATGAT